AGCTTAAATTTATCTGCAGAATTGCTAACTGCCATCCTAATGGCTTCTCAGTTATTTGACAATGAAGCCAACAATATCAGCGCGCGTATCTCATCATCAAAATTAATTTCAACTGATAACAATTGATTTGTGATGATATTGAAATCATTTAGGTGTTGAGATTGAATAACATTTTCATCAAATGCACATTGTTATTTGCCGATGATTTTTTATACATACCTGATAAAGTTGTTATGAGATCTGCAGTAGTCCTCTCCTTGATGACATTGTGGGCAACCAATTTTGACAGAGTTAATCAAATAACCCCTAGAACCTGTCGATCCAACAGATTTCATTCTGCCTCGTCCATCTTTTTCGGTTATTTTCCCAGTAACGGAAGATGAAATTTCTTTCTATAGAGGTAATCATTTATCTGCATCATTCAGTAAGCAAAATATATATCATTGAACTTCTCGATCCCCGGACCAAAGCTCTGATACCAGTTATTGTGAAAAATGATGATAAAAAAATAAGAAGTGGAACGAGAAAAATTATACGCAGAAGAACACCAATGCGACATAAATTTACGTGATTAGACAAATTTGTCTGCGTCGATAAAGCTGCAAAGTATTTTATTTATTCGAGGAATTAAATCGTCGAATGCCTCGACGTTTATAGGGTTTAGGGACACATGAATCAGAGGTGCATTATGGACGTGGTAACCTTATAGATGCTATCTGAGAACGCCACTGAGTGGCCACTCTCATTGAGCTGTCTGCCCAACAAAGATGTTGTTTTTCTTCAACTCACGAACGTGTCTGATCTTTTGCAAAGTTCACTTACTCTTGTTAGGGAGCGTAATATCAACGTCTCTCATCTCCACCACGTCCAGAGCTTTTCCATCAGCCAGATATACTTATAAAAGTGAAATATAACATCACTTATATTTACTTTTTAAAAGTGAAATATAATATTTCATGCAGAGATTTATGTCATTAAAGTGTTATAAAGGTAAATATAAAAAGTTATGTGGTATGTCAATAAATTTTCCTTCATGTTTTTTTTTAATTTCTCTTTTATGGATAATTTTTATGGAGAGTTTATTTGTTTTATTAATTAGCTTATGATGATTTTTCGTATTAATATGAAATTAATCTCTCTCTCTCTCTCTATCTCTCTCTTTACTTTCATGCATATTTTATGAGCTGCATTATAAATATCATGGTCTTAATTTCGATGGTAAAAGATTGGTCGCCCGAGTTAGATGCAATGTTCAATATCACAAATGGATAAGGTCAATATTGAATCATGTTTTGTTCGTGAGTTCACACCTCAAGGGTAGAGCTACCGAAAGAGGAATGAATGATCTAAGATAGATGAAAAAGAAAGAAGAAGGCATTTTGTTATTCTTTTTGGGCAACAATTCAATTAAGTTATCTCTTTATAATAACTCTTTCCTTTTATGTAGAGGCATTCTCACTATTAAAATAACATTGATTTGATTTATCATTTGCTTCCTTGAGTGCATATTTTATATTATCTCTAGTGTCTTATCTCTTGTTGGTGCCACATTTGACCTTTTATCCTCTACTTCTCTCATCAAGTCATATCCACTATCATTCTTGGTTGATCTGCTTGAGGACTCCCCTGGGCAATTTGTCGCTTGGGGCGAGTAGGTTATGAACTTGAGGGATGTCTGGGTTGGTTTGGTGTAGCTTTTGGTGAAGTTACAAACTGACTCATAGGGGGCTATGTTCTTCATTCGGCTATCCATATTAAGTTATTCGTAGTTGAGTATTCTCGCTCGGTAATTTTTTGCTCGGCTACTTGTACCCGATCGTTTGGGCCCAATCGCTTGTACATCTATTGTTTGTTGGATAGATTCTCTTGATGATTTGGGCTGAAAAAAGCTTATTTGACTTGCTCGAACTTCTGCCAACACATCGTGACTACTTTTAGTCATCTTGCGACATCATAACTACTATGGTCTTAGTCTCATTTGGATAAGATTGGCTATCCAAGTTAGATTTGATCTTCAAGGTGACAAATATATAAGATCAATAATCTTGAAGTAGATCGAAATTCTTTGTATACATGACTACTACCTTAATTCATGAAATTAAGGCTATCAAACTCAATCAAATATATGGTAAATCGTGAAGGGAGAAGGATGGCTGTATACCAAAAAAAAATTTTCGGCTCAAGACGAGCTCCATTCAAACCTTTATGATAGTGTTCAAGCTCGTCTGGTTTCAATTCCAGTTTGTTTGCGTTCAATTTCAGGTCGGCTCAATTTTTACGATTTACTCAATTGGAAATATGAATAATCTTTATTTATCCCTAGCAAGGTGAGATTATTTAGCTTAAACCATAACATTTTTATTTTAAAAGATGAAAACAATTATTTTTAAAATCCCTTGAGATAAATAATCAAACTAACACGAGCTTTATTGAGCTGAAAAATCAGCTTACTCATAGACTAAGTGGGTTATAAGCTCAAGTTGTGGAGCTCTTCTTTCTTTTAAACATTGCAATCTTAACCATACCCTATAATGTGAGGCTAAATGAGCTAGGTGAATGATGGGGGCTACATGAATAAGAAATTGGGCTATAGGAATTTATAAAATTTCTTATCCACTTAAGCATTCTCATCTCGACAACAGTTAACTTAGTTTTATGCTTCTCTTTTAAAGGCCAACATTCTGTATCATAGAAATTGCAGGTCTCACCGCCATCTTATGAAATTTTCCTTTCAGTCTAAGCGGTACTTTTCTATCACACAATATGCCCGAAGCATTCCTCCACTTCAACCAACTTGAATTCTACTAATAACATTCTCATCTATAGCACCATCACTTTGAACAATGGACCCGAGATATCTAAAGCGTTCACACCTTTTAATAATTTGATCACCCATAGTTACAACTATGTCACTAGAGCTACCACTATTAAAATTGCATTACATGTATTCAATTTTAGTTCTACTCAAATGAAGGCTATTAGACTCCAATGTAGACCTCCATAATTCAAGTTTTTCTTGAGCTTTTTCTCTAGTCATATCCACGAGAAGAATATCATTAGCGAAAAACATGCACCAAAGTACATTCTCCTGTAAATGTACAGTAAGAGCATACATAACTAAATCAAAAGGATATGGGCTTAAAAGTTGATCCCTGTTGTAATTCAACTGAAATAGGAAAATATTTGTTCAATCTTTCTTCTATTCGAACACAAGTAACAACTCTAGCATACATATCCTTAATGACTTGAATATCAATCATATCAACACATTTCTTCTCTAGAACTCTCCAAAGGATATTTCTTGGAACCATATCATAAGTTTTTTCTAAGTCAGTAAAAATCATATGTATATCCTTCTTATTCTCTCTGAACTTCTCCATCAAACCTCTCAATAAATGTATAGCTTTCATAGTAGACCTGCTCGACATGAATGCTCGACATAAATCCAAACTGATTATAAATTGATTATGAGAAATTTTTGTGATACATATTAACCTATGCTCAATCAACTTAATTCCTCTATAATATGCGCCTTGTGCTCCAAGGTATATATATTTTTCACCATTTTTAGTATCTAATATATGATAAAGATCACTAAAAACAGAATTTTTTGTGTCACATTAGACTCTCTATGACTCATTTTTTATTTTTCCCAGTTCTTTAAGTTTTCACATTTAAACTAATTTTCTTAACATAATTTCATATGTTTTTTTCTTTTCTTGCACATTATTATTTAATCACCAGCTATTTTTAGTTATAAAAATTTTTTCTTTTGATTCTCCAAGTACATCATTTGTCACTTGTTTAATAGTGTTTGTTACTTCATTCCACATAGAATTTGTTTCTTCATGAACATCCCAAATCTTGAAATCTTGAAGTTTAATCATAAAAATATTTTTTTTGTCTTTTAGGTGTCCCTATCTAATTCTATGACAATTATTCCTAGTATTCTTTTTCTTACAACTCTTCATATTAAAATTTAGAACTAATAATGATATTAAGTATTTAAATCTTCACTTTGAATGACATTACAATCTTTACATTTTCGACTATCTCTTCTTCTCATAAGAAAATAATCAATTTGTGTTTTATTAGATTTATTTTTATAAGTAATTATATTGCTCATCTCATTTCTTGAATAAAGTATTAGTAATAACAAAATCATACGTTAAAATAAAATCTAATATGAATATATCTTTTTTATTAGTCACTCCAAACTCATAGCCACAATGAATATTTCTAAAATCTTTTACTACTATACTGACATGTCCATTTAAATCATCTAAAGTAAAAATTCTTTAAACCATAATAGATTATTTAAAATAGTTAAAAAAATATTTATTATAATTAAAAATATGATAATTATCAAAATTTTAGTATATTATATAACAATGAAGATTTTAGCAAAAATCTACGAGGACGATTATTACTCGGTTCCTCGTTGGTTATACTACACTTATATGGAAATATTATTCTAGAAGGCATCATGAAAAGCACATGTCCATAAGAACTTAAGAGGCATTTAGATGCATACCACACAATTCTAATGTACCTAAAATATTTACAAGCATATCATTCAAATCTTTAACATCACAACAAAAACACCACAAACATAATTTTTCAAAAAATGTAAAATATATTTTTCATGCATAACACCAAAATGTTATGAGTGCAAATATCAGACTATGGATGATAGATATATAAATATATAAAATATAAAATTTATGTACTATGCAAGAAAGTTTCTCAAAAGCTTATTAATGAGTGAACCTAATAAGACACCTAACGTTCGACAAATTCCCCACCAAAATAGTTGGCTAGTAGAGTATGAATTGAATTTAAATATTTCAAGAACATTAAGTGAATGATAAAATATTGTGATCATATTTATACCATAATATATAAATAATCATCAAATGCTGTTGGGTTCCGAGAGTGGGGTCCAGCTTGGACGCTGCGGAGTACCAGTTGTCGACTTCATATTAAAGAAAGCAATAAGAACTGAGGCACGGTAGTTCAAAACTTCATCTTCCTCACCAACTAAACCCCACCTACCGTTACAGTCTCCTCTCCTCTCCTCTTGCTTTCCAAAATCAATGGCGGATGTGGAGATGAAGGTGGAGCTCATGAGAAAAATTTTAGAGCAGAAGGATTCCGATTCAAAGGTACTTCCTTTTACTTTTCCATGGCAGTTTAGTTTTTCTTTTCCTTTTTTTTTTTTTCTGTTGTCATTTTTAGTTCTTATTTCTGATTTTAATTTGCTGTATAGGGTAGCTGTTAATGGTTTCTTTTGCTTCTATTTTCCTGCTTTGTTCTCTGCATTTCTTTTTTGGGGGTTGTGTGGAAGTGTTTGTGGGGTTGCTGTTTTATGTGTATTTGGTTTTTGATATTTTTAAATTATTATTATGGCTTGTTTGATGATGTGAAAAATTAAATGGAGTTGAATTTTATTTTTTGTTTATTGTTTATTTTAATTTTTATATTTTGGTTTTTGTGGCTTTCGCTTGTTTAGCTTGTACGCAAACTTTGAATGTATCAGAACTCCTATTTTCTCCAGATGCTGTGGGAGGGAAGAAATGAATTGGTGAATGGTGGAGCTCATTATGCATTGATTTTTAGTCTAAAAATTGGAGATTTGATATGTCTTTGTTCATTTCACCTTTTTTTGGATGACTTTTTAGGGGTATTTGCATACATACCAACCAATTCATATGTATTTATATGTATAACACTTAAATTTTGCTTTTTATATCTATAGTACCCAGATCTTTCATGTCACATACAAAAATACCACAACTTTAACTTAAAAAAAAAGAAGAAAAAAGTGAGCTATTTCATGCATAGTAAAAATTGAAGTTTGGGCATTAGATATGTAAATTTATAGAATTGAGTGGAATTTATGCAAACCTTCCATTTTATTTAGGGAGATTTACATACATACCACCCACTTCCTATGTATTAATATATCAACCACATAAAATTTAATTATTACCTACAAACCAACAAATCTGTGCCAAAAAATATAAGAATCGGATGGTTTGTATTTCATTAAAGCTTAAAATTGGAATCTCTTCATAATTTATTTGACTCTTTATTTTGATTAGTTGATTTTTGTATTACATTCTTGAATGAGTTTGACTTGTGTGGCTGATAAATTTTGATTTTTCTAAGTCGTGTATTCTATAGCCGCATCTCTTGGACGCTTCCCATTTGTTCGTTAAAAGCAGTCAATATTTTCTTTTACTAGTCTTTTTGGTTGAATCTCATGAATGGCTTCTTTTTCTTAGGGGCATTTACGTACATCTCAACCAATTTTTATGTATTGACATATCTAACATCTAAATTTTACTATTTACATTCATACCAGCCAAATCTTTTACATGACATAAAAAGTGTCACTATTTTAACTTTTAAAACATTTAATACACCTTTTCATGCATTAATAAATGAATAAAACTAGCTAAAATACCCTAATAAAAAAGAAATATGTTATGAGTGGTTGAAAATATTTCATTCTTCGCTATCACTACATGTTCAACGAAACTAATATACATAATTTTATTCATATTTATCTTTTGAAAACTATTATTTCAACTATGAAAATTGCAAATTACACATTTATCCTCTTAAAACTATTAACGAGCTGATTTTGAGCCAAGTTGGGGGTAGGCTTGAAATTGGTTTGAATGGATTGAATTCGGATTGAAATCTGCTCGTAGCTCGTTATGTTCGATTTCGAGCCAACTCAGCTTGAAATTTAGTCGTGGGTTCCGACTCGAAATCGGAATGAGATGACACTAATTTGAGTTAGTTGGATCTGTTTTAGGTCAAAATCGGTTCGATCCAGCTCAAGATCGGTCTGATCCAGCACGTAATTGAAACAAGATGACTCAAATTGAGTTATTTGGATCCATTCCAGCTCGAAATCGGCTCATAGCTCATTATATTCGATTTAGTTTATTTAACATTATATATAATTTCATAAATAAAAGATACTTTGAGCCGATCCGTGTATGGCTCGAAATCGGCTAAAAAAAACTTTGATCCAAAATTTTGGCTCTTGTTTATTTCGATCCCATCTTAATCCAAAGTAAACTTTGAATCAATTTTCAAGTGATTAACGATCTTCGAATTAAATTCACATCTGTAAAAGTCTCTAAAATTCAAATTGTTTTATAGAATTGCATAGTAACAATATATATATTTACATAAGAAAAAAATTTCATAAGCTTGTCCATATGATATATAGGATTTGGATGATTCAACTCTAAAGAGATTTCTGCGTGCTCGAGATCTAGATGTTGAAAAGGCAGCAAATTTTCTAGTAAAACATCTCAGGTGGAGAAGAGAAGCAATTCCCAAAGGTTATATATCTGAATCAGAAATTCAGAATGAAATTGCTCAAAAGAAAATGTTCGCTCAAGGTTTTGACAAAATTGGCCGTCCTGTTGGAGTTGTGTTCGGTTGCAGGCACAACGCCTCTAATAGAGATTTGAATGAGTTTAAGCGTAAGTTTTATGTTTTACATTTAATGGTGTAATTCTGAATGATTATTTATGATTTATTTTATATTTATTTTGATGGAATTTAATAAATTCAAATATTTTCATAAAATCTGATGATAGTTCGCTTCAATGTGAAATGTGTAATTTCTACTTTTTGCAGGTTTTGTTGTGTACATCATTGAGAAGCTGTGCTCCAGGTAATTAGTCTGTACCAATTTCTTATCATGTAGCAACATTAATATGTTTATTACATAGATTAATAACTATGAAGTGTTCATAATTCATAGTAAATTTTATTATTTTGTAAAAGGCCTTTTTACATAAATACCACACAATTCTTATCCATTTACATATCTAGCACATAAATCTTCATATTTACTTGCATATCACTCAAATCTTTAACACCACATAAAAAATGGCACCACCACCATCTACTTAAAAGTGAAATGCACTTTCTTAAATAGTTTACAAGTATAAATATCAAACTTTTGAGTGTTAGATATGTAAATACATAAAAATTGGTCGCAGCACTAACCATATGATTCATATTTAACTTCAATATTTACAGAATGCAACAAAATCAGGAGAAATTTACAATAATCGCAGATCTTCAGGGCTTGGGATATTCACATTGTGACATACGAGCATACATTGCAGCTTTAGATATTTTGCAGGTTTTGTAATGTTTTATATATACAAAGCACATTTCTTTCTATAAAAGCTATGTTACATGAAAATTTCAAAGCATAATTACCTAAATTTATGTATCCCCTTGTGGTGCTGGCAGAACAACTATCCTGAGAGACTGGGAAAATGTTTTCTCCTGCATGTTCCATACTTGTTCATGAAAGCATGGAAGATTGTCTACCCATTCATTGATAAAAACACCAGATCCAAGGTTTCTCCTGCCTCCACTTCTTAATGAATAAGTGAAATTTAGCATGCCTTTTATTACTATGATTCTTATTGCTATTGTTATCATTGGGAACTTTATGATAATTGCACAGATAATCTTTGTTGAAGACAAGAACATGATGAGTACACTACTGGAAGATATTGAAGAGAACCAGCTCCCAGAACAGTATGGTGGAAAGCTAAAGTTGGTGCCAATAGAGCAGTCTTAAGCCCTTTACTACCATATCTTCTTCACAACCAACAACTGAGAGAATATTAATGCTCTCTAATTATATCGATTAAGAAGCTTAATTGTTCCCAATTATGGTCTTAATTTATGTGGAAATCCTCTTATAATAACACTGTTATTCAATGTGAAACCATATTAAGGTTTTATAAATAGAGGGCTCTTTTTTTTAATTTCATTTAGTTATGAAATAAAATTGTTAGATAATTTTTTGTTTCTGTCTTGATAATTCAAGTTCTCGGATCTGACATTCTTATTTTTTAAAGAGACTACAAATTTTCATTACTATTTAAATGCCGGATTATTTTAGCTCTTATTTTCGAAGTATAATTAAATCAGAAGTTTCTCCTTTGAAGGCCTTGGAAAAAGAGAAATTTACATCCATAACTCCAATTCCTCTGTATTTACATATCTAACACCTAAATTTTGTTAGGTTTAGTGGAGCTCAGGTTCACTTGTAGAAATTAAATGCGCTTGCACGCCACTATTAAATGCTTGCAGAAGAAATTAGATTAAATAGTGGTTGTTTTCCTTTCAACAATTCTACAGAAGGCGTTGGTTCACGGCGAAGAAAAGCGAATTGTAAGGTTCTAAGTTCTCCCTCTGCTCTTCTGCAATTTGCTTGCAGTGAGGACTTCCCTCTTCCCTGCGGTTCGTTCTTCTTCGGTAGCTCACAGGTAAAGGAGAAGAGAGAGAGTTTTTTTGTAATCGTCGTAGTGATCGACTGGTGTATTACTCGAAGAAATAAAATTCTCTACAATTCTGTGGACATAGGCTATTTGACGAACCACGTAAATCTATGATTTTTTTTTATTTGCGAATTGTTTTTCTTGATCCGATTTTTCGCTTTATTACATCACATTTTTCCACAACAAATTTTACTTTTGGTATTTATATCACCTAAATATTACATGTCAAAATAAAAAAAATTCGTCATTTTAACTTTTAAAAAATGCAATGGATCTTTTTCAAAAAATGAAACTTACTTTTAAAAAGTCTAATCATGCATAAGACATGTGCGGGAGAATTTATCTTCTTCAATAATTTTGACAAAACAAAAAAAATTGTCCAAAGAAATTATCCCCTAATTCATTCAAAAGTCAATATTGAACTAAGAGATTTCAATAATCAACAAGTCTGACGAGCCACAAAGCACATGACCGATAATTTCTTACCATTGACTCAACATAAGCCCGAAGGCTTGGTCACTAATATGCTTCAATAAATCTACCAAATATGCATCAAGTGTATATATATATATATATATATGAGCTCAATGCTCCACATTTTATTTCAACAAAAAAAAAAAATATACAAAAGAAAGAGACCCGAGAAACCTATCCACACCCTATATAACCCACTCAACAAAACAAAACCTAAGGTTACTTCACCTCAAAAAGAAAAAAAATTCAACTTACACATAACAAATAAAAGAAAATACAAACCCAACAAAGAAAGCAACAGACAATCACAAACTATGAAAGAGATCCAAAATAGCCAATTTCGAGAGAGTCGAAGACACCGAAGTAGAAACAACAACAGCATTCCCACAACCACCTTCTTTAGCGGCCCAGTTAGAAGCCAAGTTACATTCCCGTTTAGTATGCATCCGTTGAATATCCAATTTTTTAGATAAAAATAAAATGTTCTTCATCTGATGACTAATACTCTAATAATGTTTAATGTGAAACCTGCAAGATTGCCAAAGAATAAAAGAATTTGTTTCTATAATAATATGTTGCCAACCAAACCTTCGAGCAACCTGTAGAGCAAAGACTACAGCATCCACTTCTGCAGCTAAAGAAGAATTAGAACAAGAAGCAGCCATAAACCAACAAATTATAAAGCCCAAAGAGTTTCTACAAACACCACCCACTCCAGCTGAATTAGAACTCCAACTCCCATCCGTATTGATTTTAATAAAAGGTTCTCTAGGATAGCACCAAAAAGTTTTAATATATCTCTTAGCCAAGCTAACAACAGATAATTGTAAAGAACGAAAAACGCCTTTCAAATTACTTGTACCCGACAGCTTGGATAAAACAAGACTCTTTTTCAAATAGTTTAACACCATACCAACCTTATGATTAATGTTTGGCATTATTACGTGCCAACCAAATAAACCAAAATATAATAGAAGGCACATTGTGAAAAAAGGAGTGTCCCAAACTACTCCAATCATTGTAGATGTCAAAAATAATAACATAAGTTCTATGAATCTTCTTAATAAGAAGATGAGACAAAACCTTCCCCCATATTTCATAAGCAAAACGACAATTAAGAAAAATGTGCATAAAACTTTCTTCCTCAGATTTACAAAGAAAACACCGTGAAGAAAGACGAAAACCTTTCAATTTCAATATATCATCAGTGGGTATAGAACTATTAAGCACTCTCCGAACAAAAAAAAGAAATGGATGGCTTCACCCATCTATTCCAATTCCATTTCAAATCCATACCCTGATAATTTTGAATTATATTAGCAAAAGTCTTAGAAGCGGAATCTCCAATAACATTTTTAATAATAGGTATATTACGCACATCTTGATTAATAGGAAGAGAAGAAATAAAATTTGCATTCGTAACATTAACCAGCTTAACCAATTCCTCCTGATTCCAGCTATTATTGATCCAAAAATCAGAAATAGTGAGATTGATAGAGTGAGGACCCCCACAGAAATCGACCAATTGGCCCTTACCTAACCAATCATCATACCAAAAGAAACATCACCTTTGCTAACCTCCCAAAATATAAGATCCTCCATATGTTTAGCAACTTTCACCATTTCACGCCATATAAAAGAATCATGCTTGCAACTAGAAATATTTAGAGGATGTTGACCTTTACAGACCTTTACAATATTTAGCACGACAATATTTAGCACGCAATAAAGAAGCCCATAAGAAATTGTTAGAACGGAATCTGAACCACAATTTCATGAAATTAATTTCAATAGAATCAGATAAGCTACGAAAACCAAGACCTCCTTTGTCCAACGGCCTACCAAGTTTATCCCAACTTTGTGAATGAATATTTGCTTTCCCTTTACTATCCCAAAGAAACTTGTTAAAAAGCCTTTCTAGCCTTTTAATAATGCCCATTGGCATATTCATCACTTGTAAAGCATAAATAGGCAATGAAGTAAGAATACTCTTTAAAAGGGTAATTCTCCCATCAAACGAAAGGAATTTATTCTCCCAACATAGAATTCTTTTATGAATCTTATCAACAAGATCCGAGCAAAGATTGTTTCTTTTCAAGATTTTATGCAAATTAAAACCCAAATATGAAAGAGAAAGCGAAGCTTTTTGGCAATTAGTAATATTCATAATCCAGTTCTTCCTAATAGCCATAATAGATTTGGAACAATAGAAAAAACATTTAGAAGTGTTAATTCCAAACTAGAAGTGTCCTGAAAAAATCTGAATATACTTCCATAATCTTTGTATGGATCTTTTATTTGCATTTGTAAAGATGATTAAATCATCCGCAAAACAAAGATGAGAAATGCTGATCATTCCTTTATGTATATAGTTCAAGCTCGGATACTTGCTATAAAAATCATTTAAGCCTCTAGATATATAATCAAAAGCAAGAATAAAAAAGATAAGGAGAAAGTGGATCACCTTGCTTGATCTCTTTAGAAGCTTGAAAAAAACCACATTTGTTACCGTTAATAAGAAGAGAATAGTAATTGTTATTAAGAATTTTGTGTATAAGAGATCAAAATTCCTGATTGAAACCAATTGCCTGAAGTATATCAAGAATAAATTCCCAACGAATCGAATCGAAAGCTTTACGGATATCCATTTTGAATATCACATTACCCCCTCTGCTCTTTCTATTAATATCCAAAAGAAGTTCTTGAACTAGAAGGGCATTGTCACAAATATTTCTACCATTAATGAATGTCTTCTGATTAAGACATATAATATCAGTAAGCATAGGCTGAAGCCTTTTAACCAAAATTTTTGAAATCAATTTAGTGATAACAATATTTAGGCTAATAGGACGGAAAGCTTCCCAAGAAGAAGGATTATTAATTTTAGGAAGCAAAACAATTTTTGAGGATTTAAAATACCGAGGTAAATCAACACCTCTAAAGAAATCTTGAATAGTAGTAGTAAATTGTGGCTGGATAATATCCCATCCATTTTTGTAAAATTCAATATTAAACCCATCAGATCCCGCCGCCCTGCCCTCTTCCATGCCAAATAAAATGTTTTTAATTTCTTTTAGGCAGGGAATACAAGTCAGAGAATGGTTATTAATAGGAGGAGAAGCAGAAAAAAGATTGGAATTAATCTCTGTAAGCCTGCAGCCATCATTAGCAAACAAATTCGAAAAATATTGAATAACATCAGATATGATCTCGCTGTGCGTAGAGATAATTCTCCCATCATTCTTGCAAACTTTAGAAATAAAATTTTGTTTCCTACGATTACGAATGCAAGCATGATAATAGGCAGTATTACGATCACCTTCTAAAAAATTAGTTGTAATTGCTTTTGAGCATAAAAACTCTCTTGTATCGAAATAGTGTTGTTCAGATTCTGTTATTCCCTCAATAATAATTCCAAATCCAGATTATTATTAGCATAATCAAACTCCATACCTTTCACCTTATTTTCAAGATCATTAATCACTGACTGAAGGTTCCCAAACACCTTCCAATTCCAATCTTTAAGTTTTTTCGCTAGATTCTTTTGTAGCTTCCATAATTGAATCCCAGCTTTTCCTTTACCATCCGCTTTCCAATTATCCTGAAGAAAACAATTATAATTCTCATGAAGCATCCACATAGTGTAAAAACAAAAAATATATTTCAAGACATTAAGACCATCAGTGATCTGAAGAAGAATAGGAGCATGATCCAAAGCCAGTATAGCCAAATGTATTACTTTATGATGTAAGAATTCACTTATCCAATTAGTATTAGCCACAAAACGATCTAGTCTTTCAAAAATCTGTCCACGATGCCAAGTAAAAGGTTTCCCTTGAAAACCCAAATCGAAAAGTCCAGCCTCCATAAGAGCGTCATTAAAATCAGCAATACGACTAAGGTTAGGATGAACACCTCCTTTTTTTCTCCAAAGCGGAAGAAACAATATTGAAGTCACCTCCCATAAGCCAAGAATCATTCTTAGCATCAATAGATTTAATTAAAGACCGAAGCTCCAATCTAGATTGCCTGGAGCAACCCGCATAAACAATAGAAAGACGAAAAGAATCCTCATGAATATTAACCTTCAAATGTAGCATTTGATAGTCATTAGTGAGAACCTCCACCTTCACAAAATCTTTCCATAAGAACCAAATCTTGTTATTAATATTAGCAAGATAATTGAAGAAGCCAATCTTCCTTACATATTTATCATTGTTACAAGAACTAACCATAGGTTCCAGAATACCAAAAAAAATTAATTTATAAGTGCGAATTAAATGCTTCAATCTATCAGTGGCAATAGTCTTAGCTATTCCTCTAATATTCCATATAAGTGTGTTAATCTTCATCATTTATCACCATACCTCTGGTTAGCCTCATTGGCAAGGCTCCATTATTAGGATCATCTTTATTATTTAAATAAATGATAAGAGCTTCTGGATTAATATAACTAAGTTCTCTATTTCCTTTGAGTTTACGCTTTCTAGAAGAGCGTTGAACCATCCAGCTTTCATCCAATTCTGATCTAGTAAGAACTAGACTATCATCCATCATAGGACCCATCGGTACAAAAACATGTTCATTCAAAAAAATTGTTTCTATTTCCACAATAGATTTCTCAACATTCATGGAAACTCCTACATCATTTGTTACATGTCTTTCATCATCATGATTCCCCTCAAGATTATCCGTGTTAGAGATAATCTTGTGAATCATTGGAATAGCAATGTTATCATTGTTAGTTTCAGGATCAAGATTCATACCCACATTAATGATTGTAGTAGGTTGATTAGGCTCTAAATTTTCTGTATTGACAACCAGAATTTCTTGATTTTGAGAGACGTCCATATGACTCATATTCTCCATTCTTGATTTCTTTAATTCTTTATTACCACGTAATTCAGGATGAGTATTAAAGCAATGAGTGAACAAATGACCGAACATCTTGCAATGAGTACAGTAACTAGGCACAAACTCCATTTCTACAGGTTGCCAATATCCATCAACTTCACTCCCAATCCAGACTGAATCATGAAAGTAAGTAGTAATATCCTTTTCGACTAGAACCCTAGCCACAGATGGTCTAGTACTATGAAGAGTAGCCATATCAAGCTTTAAAGGTTTGCCATATATTGAACCTAAGGAGAATAATATTTACTGATTGAATAAATGCAATTTTAATCCAGGAAATCTTATCCAAACCAACACAATTGGAGGCTCTTCCATAAGATTGAAATCAGGAGTCCATTTAAGAATCTTCAGGTGACATTTTTCTATAAAGATAACTTTCTTGGAAAATATAGCAGTATAATCTTCCTCCTTTTGTAACTTAATCATGAGATTTCTCCCATTAATAAGTTCAACTTTCCAAAGACCCGATAAACCACATTCAGCAAAATATTTCCTCATAGCCTCAAATTGAGGATGAGCAAAAGTAAACTTAACAATCAAAGTAAATTTCATTGGATCTATCAACATCTTAGTATCATTCCCTTGAAGAAATAACGTCAGTTTATCGTTTTTCTTTGAAGCTTTCTTCAATAATCCATCTGCATCACTTTCAACCAACTGATCTCTAAAAGAAGAAGGAAAAAGAACATCTATCGAAGGTTGGTTACGTGAACTGTAACCGTGTCCTTCAACTATTATACTTCAATATATGTTCGATTGGGACACAAGACATCGAGTATAAGGAAATACTATCTTTTGAATCATCCATATTTTTAAACTAAATGATCTCTACTACCATACTCATCTACTATAATGAGGAGGTGTTTATTATGTCATTGATAAGCATAATGGGATATGAAATTGCACTTGGACTAATGCCAAGTTCACCATCCTTAAAACCACAAAATCATTATAAATTTTCTCTTATGGTTCTTATTAGGTTCTCTCCCTAATAAAAATATGTGCTATAGTGGTATAAATTGTCATTGTTAATCAGAATGTGTTCCCTTGGTTTAGGAATTAAGCATACTAGCTTTTGATGTTTGAAACTACATAAACTCCAAAACAAGGTGGAACGAGTTTTCCTTAAGTACACAAGGGTTGGTGGCATTCTTATGTGTTCCAATTAAACTAATTAGAAATTTTGATATGATCCACTTGAGTAATCTTTAAATTGAATTGGATTATTTATTTGTCCAATCAATTGAGTTTGTCAGTCCACGGTTCACTAATTCATTAGATTGAAACCTACAATAGAGTTGATTTTAATGTTGTGAAGTAAAAGAACTTTTTTTTTTTAAAATAGTGTATTATATTTTCCTACTGGAGCAGATGTGCACAACTCATGTGATTCAATCAGTCTTGCGAAAAGATGACAAAGCAGTGGCTTTGTGCTGCTGTCGGCTCTATGTGAATGTAAGTTGTGTGAATGCAAGATGAGCACAATCACGACTTCGATTGGTCTTATAGGAAGATGGTGGAGAGTTGTGGCTTCATGTTGCTGTCGGCTCTGCCTTGATGTGAATGTTGGTCACACGACTGAAAGTTGAGAACAACTGCAGCTTCTTGATGTTACCACCTTTGTTGCTTGAATGAAATAGTGCTGTGGTGCAAAGAGAAGGAATAATACTTCTCGTGCATTTGAAGTTGTTGACATGCAAAACATTTTGACATAATAGTTGTTTTGGAGCGTTGTGAATGTTTCTAATGCTACACAAGTAAATAGTAAGTTCCAGAAGTTTGGTATGTAATTACAAAAATTTTAGGTGCCATGTAGGCGAATATCCCTAAAGTGAATTGAGCTTTTTTATGTAATTGGAAGTTGAAACATTTTTAATAATTTATAAATTTACATGCCACATAATTTTTATGCATTTATATATCTAGCACCCATATTTTCGTATTTACGCAAATCACTCTTAAATTTTTAGTATTATATATCTAGCATCTATATTTTCATATTTACACAAATCCCTTAAATTTTAGTACTGTATAATAATATCATCAAAAAGTGATATACAATTAATAAAAATTAACTTTTTATTCAATTTAGAGGCTAAGTACTTGATTTAGAACAATTTCAGGAAATTATAGACTTAGCTTTTGCTTTTATAAAACCTTCCTCCCACCTTCCTTTTTAGCCTTTCCGACATGGGACTAAACTATGAGCCATGGAATGCATGTGGGTTCGTTCCCATTCATACTGTTATCTGTATGTAGCCTGTAGGATTCTAAAAATTATATTTTTACAATTTAATTACACACAACAATCACCCAAAAGATTCAATATAATATGTTAACTGCCCAAATTTTAAATATAATATTTTAACCATCCAAAATTTAAATATAATACTTTCACTCAAAGTCTTCTATAGTGGGTAAAGAAGAATAATTGTAACAAAAAAATGATTAAATATTATATTTAAAGTTTTAGCGGTTTAGGGTTTAAAATGATTCGCGTCCTGCTGGAGAACAAAATAATATCTTCAAACGTGATGTTCTACAGGAGGAAATTTCTTGTGTTTCAGTATGAATTTTGATATGAAAGTTTCATCCCATAAGATTGAAGTGATATGAAAATTATGATCCTATTGGATCATTAAACATTAGGACGATCACATTAATAAAGATAGGCTAAACTCTTAGGCCTGTACATATATAAGACTCTCACAATCTTCTTACCAAAACATTACTAAATGTGAGCAGAATGATCATTTGTCCAAATACAACAATATTACAATAATTTTCACATAGCTGCAACAAACAACCAACTAATTTTCTCGTAACAGCTTCATGGGGTAGCTAAGCTGCAGCTGAAAAATTAAGAAGCTGCAACTGCCCCAAACAAACCCTAAATATTTTGGAGCGTTGATACATAATTTTTTTTTTTAAGTAAAAATAAAAGTTAATATAAAAATAAAAAAATATTATTTAATTATTTAAAACAAAAATTATTCAAATACTTATTTATATTCGTCTTATTTGAAAATCAAATTTAAAAATATTATGTTTAAAAATCACATATTTATATAATTTAAATAATAATTATTTAACGGGCCGAACACTAACTTACAGCTTTTAGAACCCTAAATCCCAACTTGTTGCCCCCACAAATCCGGCGGACATACACCGAAGCAAAATCTCAGTGGAGAGGGAAATAATTCAAACTCTCCTTCTTCTTCCCGAAATCCCGCCTCTCTATCTCTGGCACGAGCTCGCATCTCTCCAATAGCTGAAGCTTCTACCGGGAATGGCTTCCGATCTACCATGCGATGCAGACGGAGTGTGCATGGTTTGCAAGGCGAAGCCATCGGAGGCAGAGGCTGTGCTCTGCCGTACATGCGTCACTCCGTGGCACGTCTCTTGCCTCTCCCGCCCCCCGGAGACTCTTGCTTCTGCTCTCGAATGGCAGTGCCCTGACTGCTTCCAGCTTCCGGAATCGGCGGTGGGGAAGGTGGCGCCGATGCTGGTAGGCGCATCTGCAGAGCTGGTGGCTGCTATTAGGGCGATCGAGGCCGACGGTTCGCTGACGGAGCAGGACAAAGCTCGACGTCGCCAGGCGCTTGTGAGCGGCGTTGGTGACTTGGCAGCGGGGGAGGAGGTCGGGGAGGATGGTGAGGGGAAGAAGAAAGCGAAGCGGGGTAATGATGTTTTGGGTCTCCTTGATGGAAGTATTTACTGCTCCTTTTGTATGCAGCTGCCGGAAAGACCGGTCACTGTGAGTTATTCTCATTTTCTTACATTTACTAAAATTGCTACTTCATTCTCTGTTTATTTGGATGTTTTAATAACATAAATGCTTCAATATTTTTGTTGCTATTTTTGTTTATAAAGAGCTTCTGCCATGTTGCCATTTGTTGAGTTCTGGCTGTCATTATTCTGATGTATTTCTTACTGATTTTGATCATTGTTGAAGAATGTTAACGTGAGTGGAGCAAATGCTGTTTACAGATGGCGGTCGTCCGTATTTGATGCCTATTAACAAAGTGTTTTATAAGCGTTGCATGTTAGAAAATATGTGACGGCAGAGCAAAAAATTTAGGTTTTAGTTTTGCATGAAGATTTGTCTCACACAAGAGAGAGAAAAACACAGAAAACATTTAAAATTCTACTTGGAAAACCTAAAAAAACAAGAAAATCACTGGTCTGACTCAATTAGAATAATATGCTCTATAAATAATATAGTTAACTTTTCTTTGATTGGAGAAGATGATGTTACAGAGTTATGAACCGTTGTGTGTCATTCTACATCTAATTATCATAATAGGTATTTACATATAGTAACATTAACCAAGTTACATTAATCAAACATTAGCAACGTTAGCTGTAGGACAATAGTTGAGCTACATCAAGGATTGGTGAAAATTGCTTGTGGTTGTTCTCATCAGGCTTCTCAAAGAGTATGGATTTAACTCTTAGTTTTCTGTCTCCTCTCATATTGAAAATGCATCCTAATGATAGAGTTTTGGGAGATATATTTTGGTAAATTTAGCTGAACTTCTAAATCTCTCGATCGGATGATTCATGTTTATTCTTTAAAACATGAACTATATTTTTAACATTTAATAGTCTGTTTGGGGTAGCTACAACTTATTGATAATCTATTGATAAACACTTGATCTAGATAAACTGCTCATCAGTAGCAGTTCCGGATAAATTGACTGATTGTTTGGTTTTTGCTGTTGAAAAATAGCTGTTTTGCAGCTGTTTCTGGATAAATGATCAATCTGCCCCTGTGTAGTAAGATTATTTGTAGCAGAATCGTCTAAGCAATATATTTGATGATCGAGAAGCAAAAAAAAAAGTTCATAACAGTATATAAAATAAACTACAAATCTCACTTAACAACGAGTATTAAGATTGATAAGAAAAAGAAAAAAAACTATTAAAATTACTATTCAAGCTATGACAATGTTAATTTTAAAATGCAGCTCCTTCATGTCACAAGCCGTGTTGTCAATCAGGTATACAATCCAACCCTGATTACTATTGGTAGTGGAATCTGCCGGATCGTCTACCCATTTGAAGAAGTCATACTTCTTTGGGGTGCTTCGCGGGCACTTGTAGAACTGTCACATGTAGCTATGTGACCGGCGCGGCGTTAGTAACGAAGACTGCAGTCCGCAGTGGCATAACACTCGCCCGGTGTTCCCCGAAAACCCGAAGCTCATCTTCCTTCAATAATTCAAGCGAGAACCCGCCAATCATAACATTAAATGAAATTAAAAAAATTATGAAAATAAAAAATAAGAAATAATATTGAATAAAGAAACAAAAATCTGATTAAAAAAAAATAGCAGATGTGAGGACTCAGAGAACTCACCACACCAATCAATGAAACTGTCACTACAATACGACATTTGATCTTGTAAAGAAATGAGTTCTTGGTTGCATTTAATTCACCTATAACTAGAGTAGCTTAAAAAATTGTTACAACGAAAAGAACTGAGGTATTTGGTTGCCTTCATTGTGCATATACACAAAAAAATCATCCAAAAACGCCTCATAAACCGATGCACCGAGAAGAAGAAAGCTACTTGGTTATCTTTATTGGGATTTCACATGTAACACTAACCAACAATGAGTAATAGACTATCTAGAAGAGCTCATAAGACCAAAAGTCCCATCATGTATCTCACAAGACCACAAAAAAAAAAAAACATATAAAACTCAACATAAAATAAAGAAAAAAATTAGATGAAAGTTTCAAATTTGAAAATATCTGTGATAAAATTGAAATACAATAAACATAAAAGTTCTTAAATTAACAAGACAAATCCATTCAAGATTGAAAAATGTCATTTGCTATCTGCTCTCTCAATGTTGTCATTTTCGATGCATCTTCACCCTCTTGTGTGTGAGTATTCTGTGATTCTATTTGTAGCTATGGTATGAACTGTCCCACATGGAATTCAAATGCTTCTGGCGGGAGTGGAGTTGTTCATCTTCTGCGAGGGTGAAGTCTACATTCGATCTAAAGAGACTTTGTCGAATGTAGTTGTGTAGTGCCATAGTGTCCGATACTATCTGCATTTACTTTAGAAATGGGTAAGTTGACATATCTTGTAATATCACCCACTTTTTCTTCCATACTCTGAATGATCTTTCGATCACGCTGCGTAAGGAGTGCCTCTTGTTAAATATTTTCTTCCTACCGTATGCATCTTTCAAAATCAGAAAGGTGGTACTTCGTATTAGGGTATGACTTCAGATACCCTCTCTGTGAAGGATATCCAACGTCAACAAAATAATATTTACTTGCACAAATACGTTAATTAGTAATGAACCAAAAATACCGAATGTATCATCTATATTTACGTACTTGGAGGTGGATACGGGAAGCACTTTCTTCAGTTTCTAGTTGCAAACTTAAAAACACGGCTATCGTGTGCTCTGTCTTTCCATCCAGCCATAACAAAAGCGAAACACATGTTAAAGTCACACACGACCGTCACATTTTGTGTGAGAGAGTCACAACATTCAATGTAGGCGATCTTCTTAGTACCGAATAACCGTGCATTGACGTGTGTTCCGTCAATAGCTTCAATACAGTTTTGTCATATTAGATATAGTTCATTATGATTTCACACGTAACTCATATTGATGTATGAATGATATTAAAAAAAATACCTTGAGGAACGACATGTTTCGAGCGTCATTTGCAATATGTGTAGGATTGGACTGAAATGTGGGATCCTTGGGCTTAACTAGCTTGGACGCCAAACTTAGATGAGCATTCAAACCCACTGAGAAATATCTGCTAATAGTCTCCGATGAATTTTGCAATCGTTGTAAAACTTCTCTATTAGATTCATTTTATGATAAAATAGAGTATTATTGTTAACACCTCTCTTGTCATTCGCGTGGAGCCATGCAATCCATGATGATTTTGAAGTTCATTAAGTAGATTGATAAACATCTCTTTTGTCATACGAATATGTTATCGAACCTTGTTGGGGGGTTCTGTAATAGCTCACCAATCCATTTATACACCCACTATCACTCGACGTACTCATATAACAAAGTAATAATAATAGTAACTTTTTTGTTATAGTTTAATTGTTCTGGATCTATCTTACAGAAGTTTTGAAGAGGATAATGTTAAAAACTCAACATAGAAGAAAATAAATAAACAACCCATGAAACAAATTTCAAAGATTAATAGGAGAACAAATGGATAATTTCTTACAACAGTCATTTATCCATGAAAGAACGTAAGTAATCGACTCAGAATTTTGGATCCATCTTCATAAAGAACTGTCTGCGGGTTGGGTCTTTTAGCAACTTCACAGAGTTTACATAGAACTGTTTTTCCTCCTTAACTTCAAGATATATTTCTAGGACTCAAAAACATTCATCAATGGAGATGTTCTATGAGGCATCAGGCTTAATTGTGCAGGATTCAACTAGTTTAGTTATTGAACTTCTGATGAATGGGGCTCATTTTTTCTATTCTCCACCTTGGGCACTTTGACCCACATGTGCATTCAACATCTCTGTGGATTTGACTGGTGCCTTCTCCTAAGCCACTTACCTGTTCGGTTCCCATGACGTCTGGTAAGCCGGTAAACCTCTACTCGCTTGGGTTAAAAGCATGAGCTCCCGTTGCGACAACGCCATGAACATGTCGTCAAACTTCTCTTCCTGAACCGGATCAATGCCACTGAATTTGAATTACCTGGTTGCTGACACGACCGATAAGATATAATGACTTTTATTAGTTAAACCTCCTTAGTAGGATAAATAATGAAATAAGTAATCTTTGGTACGTCATTAACTCTAATTTCTCAGCCCACAAATCCCCCGATGCATCAATTGTCCGCTTCAATGGATCCCAACTCAATCTCGTTGATCCTCTTTTTGGTTCCTTTCATATTTTCCAATCATTCTTAATTAACCTTACTTGTTCTTAAATTTTATTCTATCATAATCACTTCCTGTCAATTTTTTGAATTTAACCATTAGATTTTATTATTTTTCTTTGTTAAAATATGTGGTGGGTCTATTTCTCAGTTTAATATTTCTAATACAAAGATCACAAAATATAATAATGACCTCCCTATCCCACATGACTGATGATCCGATCTCTTTGATTTTACTCATTGCGTACTGTCAAATAAACGAGATAACATAAAATAATTTGTTTCATTACAAAAAATGTCCCAGAAAAAAGATTGCACATTTCAAATAACTAAACATAACAGAAAAAAATTTTCATAACAGGAATTCAGTGCAAAAAATCATTTTTAAAAAGTATTATGACAGATAAAGTGATCATAACAGCATCCTTCCAAAAAAACTTAACATAAATTCAATGGGAAATAAAGGCTGGCTGCAAGAATCTGCATAAGGAATCCGCATAGTATTATCACAAGTTAATTCCCCGTTTTTATCAATAATATAAGCATCCATGAGCATTCTCAGCCATCAAGCCAACCAAAAAACCACCCATCAACATCATTTGGTCTTTATAGATAACTGAATATGTAAACCTTTTTTGATATGATATTCATCAATATGAGTAGTAACAGTAGATCGAAAGCACGATCTACACAATAAAAACCTTAAACATAAAGCTTATTGTCCACGTTCAAGAACATCTTTGCTTGAAAAGAGATAACGTGCATTACCACCTTAGTAGAATCATTGTTACTGCAGACTCCTTTATAAATAATTGCAAAGCAAATGCCTATAACAACGATGTTATTCAATGTCCCAACCACCATCAAGACATGTGGGGCAAACCTCTGGATCACAAGCAACAGGACAACAAAGCCATCAAGCTAATCAGATTCAGAAAAAAATGCAAAGTGATTTTGACATGAAGCCCAACACAGCATATAGTGCTTTAAGATGAACTTGAAGCAACTGTTTGGATTATAATTTAAAGAATAATATAACCATCGAGCTAATCAGATTCAATGAATATGGTCTGTTGTTTAGCAATCAACAATGTAAACCAAGTGAATCGATACACCTATCCCTCGCCAACAAAGCATAGCTCCAGAAAAATGAAATCTCTATCTAGGAGTTTGAATCAAGCATTTGAGGCACATATTTATTGAAAAGCAAAGGAAAAAAAAAGGACTTATTTCCAGACAGAGAAACAACAAAGAACAGATCCACAAAAAAAAAAAAAACTTCTATGCATAGAGATCTTCCTCAAGATTTTTTTTGGCTACTTAGGGCTGTTCGACCCCTGCTGAGAAGGATAGCAGAAGAAAAAAAAAAAGAAAAGTGCTTACCGGGGAGAGAAGGATCCGGCTAAGGTTTGCCGCGTGAGGGCCTTCTGTCGAATGGGGGAGTCCGGCTAAGGCTTTCAGGTTGGGCCGAAGAAGGAGGGAGGAACGGCTAGGGCTGAGGAGCGTGATAGGTAATTCGAGGGCAGTGGGGTAATAAAGTTGCAAATAAACGTGGGTTGAGGGTATTATCCCGCGGCCACATTTTTAACTAAAATCAAATGCAATTTTGGGATAAGCAAGGCAAATGTGATAAACAAATGGCAGGGCGGTGTTTTCAAAATGCCGTCCGCAATTATAAGCTGTCCCAAACAGGCCCTAATCATCCTAATTACCTCACAATTGAATGATCTTTGGTTTGTTCGATTCCTCTCATTGATGTAATTAAAGTGATTTTAAACATAAATTAAATTATTTTGCAACCAACTGAACAACTCTCGAGTATTAGAAAATGCAATTGAATTCTAAATACTAGCAAGCAAACAACCACAAGGATTCTCTCCTATCACCACAAAGTTACAATAGCGATATCTCTGCCATTCAACTCACTTTGGATTGCTGGATTGATTATATCTCTCCTTCTCTTATAACCACCATAATTAGGAAAATCCTATCCATTCACGTTTGTTTGGATGAGTAGAATTTTGTTACTTGACCCTCTAATTAGCATGATAGTTGGAGCGGATTTGAGTGCTTTTGATGGCTTGCAATATTTTCATTTTAATCCTGGTTCTATATTACCACTAACTTGTACATGCAGACACAAAGTCAGAAACAAAAGCTTTTAGCTGAGTTACTAAAAATGCGGCTGATGGAAAATTTATAAATTTTTGTTTACCTCGTGCAAGCAGCAGTCAATGCTGATTGGATTCTCTTTGCACGAGCATTTATTTTATGCTCATCCTTTCCTCTATGAGGGAGTTCCGACTGTCATGTTTTTTCTTCCTCATGCACCCAAGCTTTGCTAATTCCTTAATTTATGCATTTTACCATCAGTTTTATGTAAGAATGTGATCAGGCAGAATGATAGCATAATCCCCCATAATTTGAGATGTGAAGTGTAATACGAATTTCTCTGAAAGGCATTTATCCTTTACTGAACATTTGACTGCTTTCTTGAAATAGACTGCTTGCGATGGGGCAATTTGGGCTTCACTGAGAGTGATTTGCGATAAATCTACTCTGATAACTTATTGTCATGATTTTTTACCCTTTTAAATTGGTTTTTTTACACTTTGTTAGTGTTATGAATGCCCTTTACGATAGAAGTGATGATAGATGTTATTTTATTAACATTTGCTCCTAAAAGTATAGAGTAGTTAAGTACTTTTTAAATTATATTTATAGACGCATTGTGCATCTTATTGCAGCTTTTAGTTCTGCTATATTGGGGAAAGTCTCAAGTATATTCATTTTCAAACTTATGCTATGTGTAATACATACTTTCGATATCATACTGGCACCTTTGCTCCCCTTTGGCAGGCCCAAATATTTGGATTTTTTTTTTAAACAATTTATCCCGAATGTGTGATAATTATTGTTGTTCTTAACATTCATTTCCGCCGACTAAATTACTGGCCCAATGATGGCTAGGCTGGCCATCATTATATTTTCAATCGTATCTTCTTTAAATGGTGTCTATCCAAATACAGTCTCATTTGATCTTTTGAATCATGCCTTACTCTCCAATTTTCTTTGTTTTGTTTTTCTTCATTCTATGAATTATTAATTAAATGTGTTCTTTTATATTCATGCGAGGAATTTCTTCTGTAGATATTATGTAAACATTTTTACTTAAAAACTTGGGATTGTTGATTTTTTTGCTCAAAGTTTCAAAACTAGTATAGTTTAACTTGAGCACAGCTTATGTACATTTAACTCCTGGAAACATTGGGCAATAATTTTTTAATATCACTCATATTGCTATTCTACATGGAAACTATGATGGTTGCATCAAAAATAAGTATTTTTTTATTTAATCATAACCTTTAACTTACACATCTTACCATACTGAGTTGATTCAAATGGAACAATTGTGCTTTAGGTAATGAAACTGATAAGTCTGATAGATTGTTTTTAAAACACGATTTAGAGCTCTATGAGTGTTTAGTGAATATGATACTATGAGTCAATAGTTTGTTGTTATTTTTTTTGGTTTTGATTTAGGCAAATTGTTAAAGGAATTATTTTAAAATTAATTTTTGTTTATATTTCCTCTTTTCTTCTTTAATCTTTTCTTTAAACAGACGCCATGTGGCCACAACTTCTGCTTAAAATGCTTTCAAAAGTGGGCTGGGCAGGGAAAACTCCACTGTGCAAATTGCCGTTCTTTGATCCCTTCGAAGTTTGCAGCACAGCCAAGAATAAATTCAACGCTAGCTATGGGCATTCGTATGGCCAAATCTGCGAAATCAGGCACATCATGTGGTTCAGTTAATGAATATCACTTCATTCGTAATGAGAATAGACCTGATAAAGCCTATACCACCGATAGGGCTAAGAGGGCAGGAAAAGCAAATGCCTGCAGTGGACAGATCTTTGTCACAACTCCTCCGGATCACTTTGGTTCCATTACCGCAGAGTATGATCCGAAAATGAGAAGGGGGGTGTTGGTGGGTGATTCCTGGGATGATCGGATGGATTGCAGACAATGGGGTGCACACCTACCTCATGTTGCAGGAATTGCAGGGCAAAGCGAGTATGGTGCACAGTCAGTTGCTCTGTCAGGAGGATATCAAGATGATGAGGATCATGGGGAATGGTTCTTGTACACAGGCAGGTGTGATTATTTTGGTTAAGTATAAGCATTTAATCTGCTAAGCAGAACTAAATTTGATTACATATTTTTTTGGAAAGCTTTTTGTATTGACTTTGATAATTGTTTTTTTTAGTATGCTACCTATAGAATTTACTACATCCAGTTAGTCTTTTAGCTTTAATTGAAGGGTGATTGTTTGACATGCTTCATGTCTTCGAGGTTCAGGTAAGCATCTCGGTTAAGCTGGAAAAGTTGTTTAGTATATTTGAATAATTAGTGTTAGTCATGTTAAACTGTTCTTTATATGACTTGGTATAAACATGGACATGCTATGCCATTTGTATAATGGGACTATCTCTAGCTTTCCTATTTGATTTTTTAGTTGTAGCTGTGAGGGGAACGTTTCTATCTGTACTATGTCATTTACGCCTATTTGTGCTAACTTATGTTAAAATGGCTCCTAGTGTAGTTCTTATTTCTCCCAGCGCTGTATCATTTCCCATTGGTATATTAAATAATATTTTTATTTTTATGTTTTTGTTGGATTTTGCATAGTGGTGGTAGAGACCTGAGTGGTAACAAGCGCACGAGCAAGCAGCAGTCATTTGACCAGAAATTCGACAAACTTAATGAGGCTCTACGCGTTAGTTGTCTAAAAGGCTACCCTGTGCGGGTGGTAAGGTATGCTATCAGGTTCCTTTGTAATATGTTTTCTTCTGTTCTCCTTATATAACGAGTTTGGTTTCTTTCCCGTCAATTGTTGAGTGGTAGCATGGAAAAAGGGAATCAAGCTTTCATAGTTGACCCCAAGCTACAATTTTTTTCTCTCTTTTGTTTTTGTTTTCGGTATATAATTTGGGTAGCTAAAAGTTCTGCAGGATTGCAGTTTGCCTGTGAATTGATTATTAATCTAACATGTTGATGGAAGCATATATAGTTACATTCTGTAGTTCTCACTCTAATAATGAGATCTTAACAATTTACGCTAGTGCGGCATGAACATCTATGTGAGACGCTTGATTTTAGTTTGGCAGTAATATTTGTTGTCCTCTCGATCAATATTTTTCATGACTGTTGCTTCATAATAAATTTATAGGATTGTGGTGTAAACAACTCTATTTAAAATTTGAATAGTATACACTCATATTGGCAGTAATATTTGTTGTCTTCTTGACCCCAAGCTACAATTTTTTTTTGTTTCTCTTGTTTTTTTTTTCGGTATATAATTTGGGTAGCTAAAAGTTCTGCAGGGTTGCAGTTTGCCTGTGAATTGATTATTAATCTAACATGTTGATGGAATCATATATAGTTACATTCTGTAGTTCTCACTCAAATAATGAGATGTTAACAATTTACGCTAGTGCGGCATGAACATCTATGTGAGACGCTTGATTTTAGTTTGGCAGTAATATTTGTTGTCCTCTCGATCAATATTTTTCATGACTGTTGCTTCATAATGAATTTATAGGATTGTGGTATAAACTACTCTATTTAAAATTTTAATAGTATACATTCATATTGGCTTTGATCGAGTTAATCATGTCACATTACTATTATATATTGGGTTTAATAAGTGGCCATCAATTAAACCAAGTTGCCTAAAGAAGTTATTAGACTAAACATCTCTAAACTCCACTAGAGAACACTGCATTTTTTACAAATTAAAGTTTCATGTCAAATTAAGTTTTCATTATAGTTGGCAGTCTTCCTTTATTTTATTTATTTATTTATTTTTTGACTACCTCATTCCTGTCACTCATAGTGGAAGGAAGGGAAGATTGGGAGATGAGTTTGGAGAAGTTTAATTCTTTGTACTGAAATATTTAAACACATTCTCTGAGTTGTTGCATCTCAAGAGCTTGTCGATCTAGAATCTTTGTTTGATATTTACCAGTTCCTTAAGTTGTCCCATTGTATAGTTAGACATTGAATCTCTTTACACTTATGATACTACCAATAACCAAAGATGACAGTGAGGCTGGAGGAACGTTAGCTTCATCATCATTATCGTCATCGTCACAAGCTCTTTGGCGGATGAATCACAAGTCAATAAAAGATGTACTTCCTCATGTTAGGGCATTCCTTAAATATTCCTTCATCTATGAGAGCTGCATTTGTTGTACTTACATCTAAGATGGAGGAGGCTCCTTTTCAGTAATTCTGTCATGCTTCAAATCTTTCTTCTTAGCAGCGTTATTACTGCTTGGCTCTCAGATACTCTAATTTGTTCTCCTATCACTCTGATCTTCATAATTAATATTTCTAGAATGGGGTTGGCTATGGGCTAATTGTGCTTGGAATATCTTCAATTGTAAGCTGCCTCATTTGACCTACATGTCGGGATACGTTGAAAGCAGAACACTTCACAAGATCTACTGCTTAGGTGATGCTCAACAAAGAAAAAAAAAACAAGAATTTCTTTCAAAAGTTGACTGTCGCACATGAACATTTTGAAACCCCAATAAAGCCGTATATCTGGTTTTTAAATGTGAGAAATGTAGCTTGAATTCTCATCAAGTCTTTGAAGCAATCTTTACCATACATTTGGACTAATTTCTTATGGCCAAGCTGATTTAGGGTGTTGCACTTAGAAATTCCCTTTTGGGTAGTTTCTCAGGAGTCCTCTCAGGAACTATCTCTGAGGGAATTCTCCTTGGTAGTTAGTGGTTACTCTCAGCTACTCTTAATATCTCCAGGATTGCCTCTCAACATCAAAATTCCTCTTTAGTGTACTTCATGCACTCATTTTTGTGGTATTATTATTATTTTGATTAACTTCAAACATTTAGAAAGGGTCTCTAGACAATTCATCACAATATGGTAGAAATTATGCCATTAGTTCAAGTAGCACACCAATTTTATAACATATATCAAGGAATATTAACTCTCTAATGCTATCAATTTGTTGATTGGTTTACTCATTTAACTTAATATTGAAAGTAGGGCTTATTGTTTCTAGTGCGTTCTTTTGCTCAACCAATCATTATGTTCTGACTAATATTCTTAGGTAGAACACTACTATACATATTAAGGCCTCTGTCCATTTTAGAGAAAATATACACGATCTAAGACTATCATAATTGAATAGACGAGCATAAGAATTGCATAAAAATATTATTGATAAAAGGGAAGGATTACACAATAGGAAAGAAAGATATAGAGAAATTTAGGGTGATTGAGGTTGACCCTACATATGGTTAGACTTCAAAGGGTTTGTTACATGATAAAATTGTCATGATATCCAAACCAAAATTTGGTTATGATGGGTTTTAAAAATCTAAAATTTATTTAAGATAGGTGCAATGCATGAATAATCAATCAACCTTTATATTGTACTAATCTTTAAAAGATTCCAATGGTTTAAAACCTATCCTGTTCGAATGTTGGTTACGATATCCCACTAATTTTTTTTTTTTCACTTTGATCACTAAGCAAACATTTTTTTTAATAGAATATAATTTAAGAAAACTACAAACATTCACTGATAATTAGGATTGAGACCTGTACATTGGCCCTATCCATGTTGTGTTGTGCCCGCGCATAATATTTTTAAACGGAACAACAACAATAACAACAAGTATTATTACCAAAAAAACTATGAAGTGACTTTTGAGTCCTGTTTATAGCTTAGAATTATACCTTTTCTTCTTCTATGCAGGTCCCATAAAGAGAAGCGCTCTTCCTATGCCCCAGAAAATGGGGTCCGTTATGATGGAGTTTATAGAATAGAGAAATGCTGGCGAAAAGTTGGACTTCAGGTACTTAAACATCTCGCAAATGGCGATAATATTATGAATTTATCTCTTAATTTCATTTTGGATGCAGGGGTTCAAGGTCTGCAGATATCTTTTTGTTAGATGTGATAATGAACCAGCACCTTGGACAAGGTTTATTACCCTCACTTCTCCATTTATTCTTCTCATCTTTTCCTATATTATTGATCTTTATTACTTGAACATCTATGATGGGCGGACGCTAGTGATGAACATGGTGACCGTCCGAGGCCTTTACCTGTCATCAAAGAACTGAAGAAAGCCACAGATATTACAGATAGGAGGGATGTTCCATCTTGGGATTATGTTGTAAGGATTTATATTTTTCAACCCATTCTGCCCATCCCTAAAATTGCATTTTTATGCTTATTTTGTTTGATAATTGTCGTAGTCGTCGGAATGACTTCAGTCTAGCTCACTCTAATTTCCGTCTTTTAAGGCATTTAGATACATACCACCCAATTACTTTATATTTACATATCTAGCACCTAAACTTTGTCTTTTACATTTATACCACTCATATCTTTCATATCACATCAACAACAACTGTTTTAACCTTTAAAAAGTGAAATACACGTATATCAAACCACCTCAATGAATCATGCATAGGTAAAGTGGTTTGCATGTAAAAATTGAAGTTTTGGTTTTACATATGTAAATACATAGGAATCGAGTGTTACGTATGTAAATTTTCCTAATCTATATGGAACTCTTATATCAAACCACCTTAACGAATCATTCCATTTCGGTTACCGACATGAAAATTTTTATGGAAGTGTCTTCTGTCATGATTACCATATTTTGCTGGAAATTTTTATGAAGTGAATTTGTCATGATCAGCATATCCTTTGTTGATTTTTTTTTTCCTGTCTATGATTAATTGTAACACTTTGGTTTTGTTTCATCTTTATACTCTTTTAGGAAGAACATGGCTGGAAATGGGTGAAGCCGCCGCCTGTCAGCAGGAGCAGGAAACCCGTGTATACCATAAATAATGATGAACAAAAGAGAGTAAAAGTGGCCATTAGGGTTACCCAAAACAATTCAGTCAAGGAGAAGCTATTAAAAGGTTTGTTTTAATATATATTTTAGGCCTCTTGATACCAAATAACAGCCCTTTTTACCATTTGTTCTTTATGTGTTCATTTGTAATGGTTTTTATTATTTTATTGTAGAATTTAGCTGTCTGATTTGCCGGAAAGTACTGTCTTCGCCATTGACGACCCCTTGTGCTCATAATTTCTGCAAGACATGCTTGCTGGGTTCATATGCTGATAAGTCCTTTGTGAGGGAGAGGAGTAGTGCGGGTGGTCGCACTCTTAGAGCTCAGAAGATTACGAAGAAGTGCCCTGCTTGTCCATATGATATTTCAGATTTCTTACAGAATCCCCAGGTAATTTCTTGGCTAACTTAATCAAGGAAGAATTCCATACATGCCACTCAATTCTTATGTATTTACATATGTAACACCTAAATTTCAATTTTCACATATTCCCACCTTAGCTATGCATGAAAAAGGTGTATATTTCACTTTTTAAAGTTAAAATAGTGGTATTTTTTATGTGATAATGAAAATTTGGGTGGATCATAAAAAGCAAAATTCAGGTGCTGTAGATGCCCATACATACCACATAACTCTTAGATATTCACACATTTAACTCCTAAATTTTAAATGACACTCAAATTTTTAATATTGCATAAAAAATGCCACTATTACTCTCATTTTAAAAGTGAAATGCACATTTTCATGCATAAGTTTAGAGCGTTCGTTAAGTAAACGAGCTGAACACGAACAGTTCTTTGTTCGGCTCGTTTTAGCTCGAAGTAAAAAAACGTTATATAATTATTTATATAATAATATATTACATATATTATTTATATAATAATATATTATATATATTTATATCTAAGTTTAACTCATAACATCTCATATGGTAATGTGGTTAATCCCTTATTTTGTATATATTTGGCCCAGGTTCAAATCTCACACTTTACATCTATTTTTTTCAATTTAATTTTAACGAACCAATTTCGAGCCGAACACAAACATGAATATTTAAATCGAGCTGAACACGAACACACTGTTCACAAGCCAATTTTGAACATGACCCGATTTCAAACACGATCTATTTCGAACGAGCCGAACACGAGCCAGCTTGAGCTCGCTCAAGCTCGGCTCGGGTACAAACCCAGCTCTC